TGTTGTGTCTGCCGAAAACTAATAAATAAATATTAAAAAAAAATTCTCTCTCTCTCTCTCTCTCTCTTAAAAAAAAAAAAAACACCTCTGAGTTTAATTCAAAGTAAAAAATGCTTAAAGGGAGTTTTTTATTATTGTTACTGTTTTTGATGGTGGGGACTGAACCCAGGGCCTCCTGCATGCTAAGCACATGCTCTACAACTGAGCTGTGTTCCCAGCCCCAATTTTTTTTTGGTACTTGGAATTGAACTCAAGGCCTTGCTTATGCTAGGTAAATACTCTACCATTGATCTACATCCCCAGCACTTTTTTTTTTTTATTTTGAGACAGGGTCTTACTGAGTTGTCCAGGCTGACCTCTCAAACTTGTGATAATCCTGCCTCAGCCTTCCAAGTAGCTGAGGTTACAGGCATGTGCCACTGTGCCAGCTCAGTCCCAATTTTTTGATTAAATTATAATATAATAAATGTAATACATTATAGAAATCAATTTCTATATAATGTGTTTATCTTGTGTATATAAAAAGTGATTTAGTATCTATAATGGATGCAGAAAACTTGCTACATATTTGTTATTTTTTTCCCAAATATCCTTTGTGGTTTCAGGATTTGAAACATTATGTCTTTTATCATCACTTAAGAGTGGTGTTTTCAGAAGTCTCCAAAAACACCTATGTATTCCATAGTGAGTTTCTAGGACTCACAGGACTTGGCATATAATTGTTCTTATGTCCAGACTTTATTAATGTGAAAGGATACATGACAAAATCAGCAAAGGGAAAAGACACAGGAGGAGTCTGGAGATTTCCATGGCACAGGCTTCCAACATACCATGAGGGGACATATTAAATGGGCTCCTTTCTCTACAGTGAAGAGTGTAGTGATTGCGTGCAGTGATTTTGTCCTAAGAAGTCTATTAGACTCTCATCCCATTATTTTTTTGTTTATTTTCACAACTACATATCAGTTGTATGTATTAATGGGATTCAGTGTAATATTTCCATACATGCATACAAAGTGCACTGATCAAATCCAATCACCCTTTTCTGACCTTTCCCACCCTTCCCAATCTTTAATAATCACCATTCCACTTTAAAGATGACTTTGTTTAGATACCACATATGAGAGAGAACACACAGTACTTGTCTTTCTGGTTTCATTTAATATGATATTTTCTAGTTCCATCCATTTTGTTGAAAATGATAGAATTTCATTCTTTATGGCTGAATAATACTTCCTTGCGGGGCTGGGGTGTCTCAGTGGTAGAGCACTTGCTTAGCATGTGTGGGACATTGGGTTCAGTTCTCAGCACCACATATAAATAAATAAGATAAAGGTCCATTGACAACTAAAAAATATTTTAAAATACTTCCTTGTGTGTATATATACACATGATGTGTGTGTGTGTGTGTGTGTGTGAATTTTTTTCTTTACCCATTCATCCGTTGTGGGGATCTTGACTGATTGATTACCCTATCTAAGCTATAGTGAATAGTGCTGCAGTAAACATGGATATGCAAAGATCTCTTTTGTATGCTGATTGCATTTCCTTTGACTTTACACTCAGGGGAGCAGGTTACATAGGTACCCTTTGCCTAGCAACCACCCAAATTTTAGACTTCTAGATGGGAGCAGATGTTCAACATAAATTACCTTGTTTATGCAGTTTAGGAACAGTGAACAGCCTTGCCAGTTAGAGAGCTTAGAGAACATTTTGAAAGCCAAGTGCCTAGACACCTGCCAAGGGTCAACCTTCCAAGCAGGTCCTCCTGTAGATAGAATTTTCAGGCTTGCTTTGCTAACTCTTTTCTGCACAAGGGGCACATCCGTGATGACGCTACAATCCTAGGTGGAATATTTGCATCATATTTAACTTCTTCCCCTGACACAAATTTGAGGGATACCACTGATTTGCTGACAGTACATTTGAAGGAACTTGGAAAAGTAAAGGGGCTTTAGGTTTTTTAAGTCATGAATAAAGCATGTCCCAGTAATCCCTAGGAATAACATTGCTTTGTCAACTATATGTATTTATTTTATTTTATTTTTTCAGGATTAAGGCTGCTGTCCCAAGCATCAAATTCTGCTTGGACAATGGAGCCAAGTCAGTTGTCCTTATGAGCCACCTCGGCCGGCCTGATGGTGTTCCCATGCCTGACAAGTACTCCTTAGAACCAGTTGCTGCAGAACTAAAATCCTTGCTGGGCAAGTAAGTGCCAGGCTCTGGTGCTGGTTGAGTATATAGGAGGACAGATTGTCAGGCATGTTGTTACTGGTTTTTGATTTTCAGACTGCTTAAGTGACTTCATCTGTTGTTCCCCCTAGGGATGTTCTGTTCTTGAAGGACTGTGTGGGCCCAGAAGTAGAGAAAACTTGTGCCAATCCACCAGCTGGGTCTGTTATCCTGCTGGAGAATCTTCGCTTTCATGTTGAGGAAGAAGGGAAGGGAAAAGATGCTTCTGGGAACAAGGTAGGTCCTGTGATTTTGACATTATTGAAGATAAGGTCCTGAATCTGGAAGAGACTATGATGGAAGAATACAAGAAGCTTGTATTTTTTCGTAGACACTTTCTCATTGAAGTATAAAATACAAGTAAGAATGCACAAAAACACAACTTGATGAATTATCACAAAATAAATGCATCTTTGTAACTACCACCTGGCTCAAGGATAGAATATTACCAGCATTCCAGAAGTCCTTCTGGTACTCAAATGGTTTTGAAATATATGTGAACATTCTTGGGGTATAAGATTATTCAGTGAATTTGATGATCATGGTGATATTACCTTGGATTTAAGGTATTTTTCGAAGAACTATAAAACATTTTCCTTGAATCCATCTTTAAGATAAGGGGGTATAGGCTTTATCCTCATTTCAGGAAAAGTCTCAGGAAAAAATATTAAGTTTCAGAAAGGTGGTCATTTGACTAAGTTAATGGTGCTATTGATGGACTTTGTAGCTAAGGTCATTAGATCAGCAAACTTTCTGAAGTGGCTAGATAGTAAATATTTTAGGCTTTGTAGGTCTTACAGTCAGTCATAAAGGCCATATAGTCTCTGTTGGCTCTGCTGGGCTCTACCATTGTCATGCAAAAGTAGCCATAGATAACCCACAAAACACGTTACTATGACTTGACAACCAGAATTCTATTATTAAATGATCTTTGAGCATGATTTTTTTCTTTATTCTTTCTAGTCATACATGACAGTAGAATCTATTTTGATTTATTTATACAAGTATGAAATATATCTGATTTTAATTAGGATCCCCGTCTTGTGGATGTTTGAGCATGATTTTGAATTTGATTCACTAGAAGGGAAGCTGAAGGCAGTTTTTAGTACTTTCTTCCATTCTGCTGGTCTTTAGCATCTGAGAACACATGCTCTGAGGCTGGTATCTCAGTCCCCTTTCGACTTCTGACATTTCTTAAGGTCATTGGGAGTGACTGCTTTCAAGCAGTTTCTTTTCTTAGCAGCACAGCACAGGTTTTGCCTTATCCTGCCTTTGGCACAGTCTTGATAAAGTACTAGGAGTCAAATGCTGACCTAAAATTTGGTGCCCTTTTAAACTGAAACCCAAGATGCACAAACTCTAGGGCTTAGAAATGGTGGGAGGCAAACTGGCAAATTGGGCAAAATGTTTTATTATATGATGAAGTGCTTATGCTATTCCGTGATTTATGTTTTAGTAGTTAATTCACTTGGCATATAGTGTCTGATGGCTTTAAATACCTGAAATTTCAGGAGCCTGGTGGTAAGTTCAAACTGGATATAAGAATACAGTGAGTACCTAAAATTTTTATTTTATCCAGTATAACCACATTGATCTTTCAGAATGAACATTATCTTCCTTCTAGTTATTGGCAAATTTAAAATGAGGAATGAGTTATGATTATTATCGTTTGTTCCTATGGCACTTTTTTGTGGAGAGACTTCGATTTATCCCATTTTTCTTATATTATTATTATTAGTAGTAGTAGTAGTAGTAGTAGTAGTAATAGTAGTAGTAGTAGTAGTACTGGGGTTTAACCCAGGGGCACTTTACCACTGAGCTACTGAGGTATGTCTCTGGTCCTTTTTAGTTTTATTTTGAGACAGGGTTTCACTGAGTTGCTAAGGGCTTCACTAAATTGCTGTGGCTGGCCTTAAACTTGCAACCCTTCTGTCTTACCCTCCTTAGACACTGGGATTACAGGTGTGGGCCACTGCACCTAGTGGCTCCTTAAAGAGCTCTTAAAATGGAATGCCTTTTTGGTTAATAGGAATAGTTGAAGGACAGAGAGTAATTTCCCAATGGTTATACAGTAAATTAATGTAAGAGCTAGTCCTAGAACCCAAGTCTTCTGATGTTTGAGCATAATTAACCATTACTTCATTTATCATCTTCCATTTACCAATGGTAGATGGCTTTCCATCCTGAAGAGGTTTTAGGGGCTCCACAGTCTGTAATTTTAGTGTTCATGGCTCTGTGATTCTTTGGGTCATAGTGGAAAATGCCATTCTTTGTGGTGGCCTCCTTCACCTCTTGATACATACAAAATGGGAGTGGGCAGTTACTAAAATAAACATCTGTTCTGTGCTGTGTACTATTCTGTGCCATGTCCCTCTTCATCTGGCATACTTCCTGTGTATCCTTGCTTAGATGCCTGCCAGAGATTTTATTTTGCTCCTCCTGCCATTCTGTTTCTGTCTCCTTTGGGGGAGCCCTGGATGGTGAGCTGATACCTTGCACTTGTGTTTCATTTCTTTTCTACTTTTTTCCCCTCTCTCTTCATAGAAGTGTATGTCTTGATTTCTCAGATGCATAACTTTGAGGGAAGGTTGTAAAATACCTCCTTTTACACCAACAAAATGTCTCTGAGGTATTTTTCTATTGTCATATTTAATTTATCATCTCTGTCCCAACCTTTCCTTGTTGCTTTTATGAGGGATATGTATGAGGGCCACTTTGCCTTTGCAGAAGGGCCTTGGTAGTCAGAAACTTGAGTCAAGTATAATACTTTCACAAGGAGAATATATTAAAATAAGAAAATGAGTTAGCATAAGGAAAGGGAAGAACAGTCAGAATCTTGACCTATAGGTTGAAGAGAGACCAGTGGGATGCGGTTAGCTTCAAATGATTTAAAAGTTAAGCCATGGTTCAAGAGTATTAGGTTTGTAATTTTGAGGGAAGGTGAGGGAGTACAGGATCATGAAGAAATAACAAAAGGACCTGGAATATTTGGGAGAAAGAAACAATTCTGTTAAAAATTTGCCGTCCCACCTATTCAAGGTCTTTAGAGATGTTCAAGAGGACCCTCAGTGGTATGAAATGCTTTTACAGTTATTTGTCTTTGGAGCCATAAGCACTTCCTGTGTTGGCTTTTCATCACAGTAGTCATTTTTCTTTGCAGATTAAAGCTGAACCAGCTAAAGTAGAAGCTTTCCGAGCGTCACTTTCCAAACTAGGGGATGTCTATGTGAATGATGCTTTCGGCACTGCCCATCGAGCTCACAGGTACCAAGGGCCTTGTTGGATACTGAGCTGAGAGCAGCTTTCTTGTTTACTTGAGCAGCTCAAACTCGAGGTTGCTTTTAAGTATTTCTGCATTGTATTGTGACTGTTTCAATTTCTATCTCTAATTGGAGCCACTATTGTGGCTCTTCCTGATCTAGAGAGGAAACAAAGGTAAAAACGTTGGGAATTGTCAAGTGTGTTTTATGTAGCTTTAGGAAAAGGTTTCTCTTTCTAATGGATATTACTTTGGGAATGTTTCCAGATCAGAATCTTAACATTCTTATCAACTTGTTGATTACTTATTGTATAATATCTCTTTTGGGGGTATCTGGGATTGAACCCAGAGGGGCTTTGACTACTGAACCACATTCCCAGCTGGTTTTTATTATGAGACAAGGTCTTGCTGAGTTGCTGAGGCTGGCTTTGAACTTGGTAATCCTCCTGCCTCAGCCTCTGAGCTGTTGGGATTACAGGTGTGCACTATGGCACCCAGCTTATTGTATATTGTAATTCAGCCCTTTGCCTGCTGAAGACTATTACTTTGGGTATCTTAGAGTCTACCTAAGTTCATTGCTTTTTACTCTTTCGGTTTGACCCTGTTTATTAGTCAAAAACCTTATCATGTACCTAAGTGTTTTTTGTTGCAGTTTCAGGATGAAAATCATGATTTCTTGGAGACTCAGAATGAGAAAAGCATTTTAGTGATGAGGAGCTGGCTCCTAGGACTGGGAGAAATGGTAGAGTTTTATGAGAATTTGATTGTCTTTGGTCTTTTCTAGCTCCATGGTGGGAGTCAATCTTCCACAGAAGGCTGGTGGTTTTTTGATGAAGAAGGAGTTGAACTATTTTGCCAAGGCCTTGGAGAGCCCAGAGCGACCTTTCCTGGCCATCTTAGGCGGGTATGAAAAACACTTTTGGATTATGCTTTAAGTAGTATTTGTGTGGCAGTAGGCCATAACTTAGGTAGTTTATTGTCAGATAGCATAGTCATGCTGAGTAATTGTGGAGAATTTAATAAAGGGACTGTCTATAGAAGTGATGGTAGATTTAGGGACACCAGAAAAGGACAGTATAATAATTGGGCTAGCAATAGTCATCACCATCCCTAGGCCTGAAAGGACAAAGAAGGGAATACAGAGAGGGGAGTTATGTGGAAGAGCCTTCCAGTTAGAATGGTAGTGTTTATTCAAGGGAAAGATGAATATCTGGAAGAAAAGGACCCCAGGGAAATAAATACTGTGATCTCCCTTCAATCTCCTGATGCTGCATCCATACCCACCACCAATTGCTGAAACTCAACTGGAGGCCAGAGGTAAGGGAGTCCCTTGATGTGGTTCGTGCAGGTCCGCCTCCTGGGACAGGTTGGAGAAGGGTAGAAAATGGTTGTGGAGGGAAGAATAGGGAAAAATCTGCCAAAGTGCTCATCTGTAATTTTGAAGTTTTTTATGAAGCTCTTACATACAACCTGGCTGGGAATAACTAGGAAAACCTGCTCCTGTGTGTTCAGTATTATGTCTTTATATCATTTAGACTTCATTTGTACACATTATGTACCTATTTTATGTTTGTTCCTAGGGGGAAAGGCAGCATGTGGATAGTGAGATTCTCATGCTTAGTAAAGATTAGAAATTTCAGAATGGATAGTTGAGAGAATACATTTTAGATGATAAAGTAGGGAAAAGGGGCTGGGACTGCTTGGATGAGATAGCTTTGTGTCATTTGGCATGGCTGTTAGGTTGCAGCCTCTCTATGGTTACAGGAATATGACCCTTCTGTGAGCAGGGTTTTTTTGCCCCCATGGGACTGGACACAGTCAGCATTTCCTGATGAAAATTGACTCTGGAGTTGGCTGTCAACTTCAGGTAGTTGCTCTCTAGGCTTTATGAGCCCAGTTTCAGGGTCCTAAAAATCATCCAGGGGGATTCAGGTTGTAGTGTTGTTCCTGTAAAAAGGTAAATTACTGGAATCATTGCCCCTCTTCACTGGATTATGAAGATCAGGCTCAGTTTTTTGATTTTCCTGAAAATGAGGATTTGAGCTGTGTGGCTTTGTAGACTTTCTGTAGACTTGTAATAAGAAGAGTGCCACCTAGTGGTTATGGTTAGGTTTTTGTTCCCAGTGTATGCTTGAAATCAGATAGATAGATAGATATTTTTGCTATGTGCCTATGATAAAGTTTAATTTATAAATTGGGCACATTGGGAGATTAATAACAGTAATGAAATAGAAGAATTATAGCAATATACATATTGTTATTTAAAACTTATGAGTTATTTATTTCTGGAATTTTCCATTTAATACTTTTGGATTGTGGTTGACCACAGGGAAGTGAAACTGAATAAGGGAGTGCTACTGTAGCTGTTTTGGTGAAGCTAATATGGAAAATTTTGCCACATTTCTTAATAGTGTAGTCTTCCTAGGCAATTAATAATTTCTGGAAAATTTTTACATTAAAAAATTCTTCACTGTGGAAACATGTCCTGTATAATAAACCCCTGGGTATCTGTTACACTGCTTTAACAAGTTAATTGACATTTTGGGCAATCTTGTTTTATCTGTGAACCCCATTTTGGTCAGGATGTTTTTTCCCCCCATCAGTACTTGGGGTTGAAGCCAAGGACACTTCTACCATTGAGCTACATTCCCAGCTTTTTTGTGTGTGTGTGGTGCTGGGGATTGAACCCAGGGCCTTGTGCATGCATGTGAGGCAAGCACTCTATCAACTGAGCTATATCCCCAGCTCTCCAGCTATTTTTTATTTTGTAACAGGGTCTTGCTAAGTTCTGTGGCTGGTTTTGAACTTGAGATCCTCCTGCCTCAGTCTCCATAATAGCTGGGATTATAGCCATGTGCCACTACACCCAACTAGGAATTTTCTTTTAAATAACTGCCATATATTATACATAAATTACTTTGTTAAGGATCATTTATTCTATAATAGTCCTCTTCTTACTTTCATCCCAACAATGTGTTCAAGAAACAGGGACATTTGAGCTATATACTATCCCTTAGAGATGAGCATGTATTTTCTGTATGCAGTGATGCCAAGATGGTGTGAAGATGATACATGATCAGTAGAAACTACTTTGAATTTCGGTCTTTTCTTGGGCTAGTTATGTGCAGTACAAGTATTTCTTGAAAGAATTTCTTGAAATTCTTCTCAAAGAAAGTATTCCTTGAGAAGAATGAGAAGCTAGAAGGGACAGTGAGTTGCACCTCCCAGCCAGTCATACAGTCATGAGGGTAAACAGTGTATAACTCTAGTGTAATGTACGGCTAAGCTGTGGTGTTCATCAGGTTAAGTGCATTAAATGTTTTTTTTTTTCTGTTTTCCCCCGTTTTCATTGGTGCATTATTCTTACAGTGGGATTTGGTATAATATTATTCATATATGCACACAATGAAACAGTATAATTTGATCCATTTAATTCCCCAATACCTCCCCTTTCCCTCTCCTCCTGGTCTCCCTTCTTCTTTTTTTTTTTTTTTTAATGTTCTAATTAGTTATACATGACAGTAGAATGCATTTTGACACATTGTACACAAATGGAGCACAGTTTCTCATTCCTCTGGTTGTACATGGTGTAGAGTCACACCAGTAGTGTAATCACACGAGTATAGGGTAATGATGTCTGTCTCATTTTACTGTCCTTCCCATCCCCACACCTCCTCCACTCCCCTTATTCCCCTCTCTCCAATACAAAGTTCCTTCATTCTTTCCTATCCCCTCCCCACTGTGGATCAGCATCCACTTATCAGAGAAAACATTTGGCCTTTGGTTGAGATTGGCTTATTTCACTTAACATGACGTTCTCTAGTTCCATCCATTAAATGAATTTTCAGCGTAGTATATTTTCAACTTACGGTGCCTTTATTGGATGCAAGTTCAGGAGTGTGTGTGTATACACATTTTAAACAAGTAATCCATTCTTTTCTTTAGTAGTGACCAGTCTGTACAAATGAAGTAAACAGCCTCTTGGCATCCATTCCCCTGTATCAGTGTTGTTTTGTACTATAAGATCTCTCCCAGGGTAGGCATCATCTTGTTTATTGAATGAAGAGGGAAATAGTCCTAAAGTGATTTGGCCATTTAAGTGGGATTTAAATGTATTGAAATGTTTATGGAAGGCTAGCTAGCTATTGCTTTGTATCTCTTACTTAGGATATTTTTTTCTCTCACAGGGAGGTAAGAGGTACATATGTTTTATTTTCCTCCATTGCAAAATAAGCTTCAAAAGGGCAGGAATCTTTGTTTTGCCCACTAATGTTTCTTAAACACCTAGGATACTGCTTTGCACAGACTAGGTGTTCAGTGAAGGTGTTGAATTAAGCAGTTCAGCAGAAAAATGCTATAAAGCAATTGTCCCCAGCAATTGAGTATGGGGTGCGAATTGAGACTAGAAATATCTATTTTTGTTCAGTATATGTTTGTGCAGTCTTATCCCCTGCTCTAGAATTAAGACAGTTCTGAGTAGATGCAGGGATTTCATGATTAGCAGATACAGTTGGCAGTCTGGATCCTGTGAATTTTGAGGGGGTATATGTGGAATCCATGCTTTCTTTAGATAAGGATAGGTTTTCTTTTCCTTTTTGTGGTGCTAAGGATTAACCTAGGGCCTTGTGAATGCTAGGCAAGTACTGTACTGATGAGCTATACCTTCAGCCAAGGAGTAGGTTTTCTAAGCCCCTTTTTGATTTGATGTCATATCTTCAAAGGTTTCTTCAAAATGGATTAGGCTTTTGGATTGGAGAAATACAGGGCAAAGTTATGCAGTACTTGGTCACTTTGGGACATTTTTTTTTGTTCCTGCCTTAGCATAAAATGTCAGGCTCCATTATATTATTACTTCTCTAGTTGATTGTTCTTTTGGTGGTTTTCTTTCTCTTCTAGAGCTAAAGTTGCAGACAAGATCCAGTTGATCAATAATATGCTGGACAAAGTGAATGAGATGATTATTGGTGGTGGAATGGCTTTTACCTTCCTTAAGGTGCTCAACAACATGGAGGTAGGAAACCAATGCCAGTGTGAAGTAGCTGTTCATTATAATCACACTTATCTAAATTAAAAAAAAAACCAGCTTGATATGAACTCTCCCTAAAAACTCCTATTTTTATCTTAGCAAGTTGTTTTTCTTTTTGCAATTGTTCCTTTATCTCTTATCATATCTGGTTGCTGTGAAGCAGTCATGTTCTTAGTATAGAGGCTAATGTTCATCATCTTTGCCCCCTTGTATAGATTGGCACTTCTCTGTTTGATGAAGAGGGATCCAAGATTGTCAAAGACCTTATGTCCAAAGCTGAGAAGAATGGTGTGAAGATTACTTTGCCTGTTGATTTTGTCACTGCTGACAAGTTTGATGAGAATGCCAAGACTGGCCAGGCCACTGTGGCCTCTGGAATACCTGCTGGCTGGATGGTGAGTCACTTCAGTATGAGTGAACAGAAACTTTTTTGTGTCATCTAGCCAACCAACTAACATTTTTTTTTTTTTTTTTTTTTTTGGTAGTACTGGGATTAAACCCATGAACTCGTACTTGCTAGGCAAGTGCTCTACCACTGAGCTACAACCCCAGCTCTCCAACAAACATTTTAAAACACTAGGAGTTGGGTTCCAGATGTTGCAGTAAGGCATTTTTTGTGGGAGAACTCATGGGGTGAAAGCAGTGGTATCAGATTTCTGCTGTCTTTATCAGTAATGAGATGAAGCACGAATGTTTCTTTTTCATCTAAGTAATGTTTAAGGACTTACTATGTGTTGGAGACACTGCTGTATTCTTTCATGGTTTGGGCTATTCTGAAGTACGTTGCTACCTAGAAACCTGTATAAGAAAACTTCACATGAAATCATGAAGATAATAGAAGTATACTATTCACAATGAAAAACATGCATTAAAGACTAATATGAAAAAAAGACTAAATAGTTGATCATTGTGTTTTCCACATATTATTTTGACAGCTGTATAACATTGTCTCATTGACATGCCCGTTTGCTAAGTCATTTTTCTTTTGTTAGGCTTTTGGGTGTTACTTCTTGGTGTGAGGCCTTTGGGTTCATCATTTCTCAGTGTGGCCCCAAGACCAGCAGTATAGGCATCATTTTTGGAATTTGTTGAAAAACTGAGGGCTGGGGCTATGGCTCAGCCTGGCATGTGTGAGGCACTGGGTTCGATTCTCAGCACCACATATAAACAAATAAAATAAAGCTTTATTAGCAAATTAATAATTTAAAAAAAGAAAAATGTAAATTATTGAGCTTTACTCCATAACCACTGAATCTGAAACCCTGGAAGTCTGGGAGTAGGGCCCAAAAGTTTGTGTATGAACAAAGTCTACGGTGATTCTGATGCATGCCAGAGTTTGAGAACTACTGATCTAGTTCATTATTTCTCAATTTCAACATTATTGACATCTCCATTTTTGTTATGGAGGTCTGTTGTTGCATTGTGAGGTATTTATCTTTAGAAATGTCTCCAGACATTGCTGCATGTTCCTTGTGGAGAGGCAGGTTTGACCCAGGTTGAGACCCACTCATCTTGTTCTTGATTGTCCTACATAGAATGGTCAAAAATGCCTGTATTAAATAACTTGAAGTTTTCTCTTGATCTTTTATAAAGTAGAACTTTTGAGTCAAAGGTCATAAATACATTTATAATTTTAAAGACTGCCTTTGGTTCTACAAGAAACTCTGGTGTTTAGCCTTGTTTGATCTTGATGAAGGTGGTATTTGTTCTTTAAAGTAACTTTCCTTGGCAGCTCAACTTCTCTTTTAATTCTATCCCTCAGGGCTTGGACTGTGGCCCTGAGAGCAGCAAGAAGTATGCTGAGGCTGTTGGTCGGGCTAAGCAAATTGTATGGAATGGACCTGTGGGTGTCTTTGAATGGGAAGCTTTTGCCCGGGGAACCAAAGCACTCATGGACGAGGTGGTGAAAGCCACTGCCAGGGGCTGCATCACTATCATAGGTAAGGTGTCCTTTACATAGCTAATACTAAGGTGAACTGGCAGAATTCTAATCAGAGGAAGGTAGAGGGGGATCGTTGACTATTCCTGGGCCTCATGGTGTTAGGTGAATCTTGAGCCAAATGGGTGCATAGTTCATGTAGGAGCATCTTAATGAAAGAGTTCAGAGTTCACCAGTTACTTTTGAGTTGCCTTATAGTTTTGGTGCCATTCAACTTTTTTCTTCTACTTTCCCTTTTCATCTGGCTTTCATTCAACAGGTGGTGGAGACACTGCCACTTGCTGTGCCAAATGGAACACAGAGGATAAAGTCAGCCATGTGAGCACTGGTGGTGGTGCTAGTTTGGAGCTCCTGGAAGGTGAGGTTCTTCCTTTTATTTTGGCTTATTTAGGGGTAGGGTGGGGAGAAGTGGGTAGAATGGAATAAAGAAATTTAACAGCTAGTACTGTCATTAGCAGTCATTATTAGCTGGGCAGTACAAATGGAGAACTTCAGATAAAGCTCTTGCATCCTTTTGAGGAGGGGAGGGGCAGATAGGAACTTGTTCTTAAACATGTCACATTCTAGTAGACTTGGGACACAAAATGCAAAAGTTGCCCAACTCCTGGCTATATTATCTTAAAGAATAGCTGATGTGTTATTGGGAAGAGAGAAGGGGGCATATCTGGCTTAGTTGGCCCTATAGTAATGCTGTCTATGTGTATGTGCTCTCTCAAAAACAGGTAAAGTCCTTCCTGGGGTGGATGCTCTCAGCAATGTTTAGTACTTTCCTGCCTTTTGGTTCCTGTGCACGGCCCCTAAGTCATCTTAGCATTTTTCGCGTCTCCACTTGGCATTAGCTAAAACCTCCCCGCACATCAAGGTTCAGCTAGTGGCCAAGAGAGGTAGCACCAGGAACCCTTAAACAGTTGCACAGCATCTCAGCTCATCTTTACTGCACCCTGGATTTGCTTATATTCTTCAAGATCTCATTTAAATTTCTTGGTGACTAAACCATTGTGCATTCTAGAGTGCATCTATTTATATTTTGCCTGTTAAAACAAAGTGAGCTGTGTTAGCTTAGTTCTCTTTTTGAAGTAGCTTATTTTGATTAGCTTGTCACTATTCACTACTCGGCATGGAAACAAGATGAAATTCCAGTTTTAGGGAGAAGCAATTGATGAACTATTAAATGATCAATAAACATGTCCATTGAAACTGGAATTTTTTTCCTGTCATACTTTGTTAGGAAGGGTAAGAATAGAAACTTGAAGGGACCAAATATCTACATTTCTAAATGTAAGGAATGGGATGGCAGCAGTGGGGAGGTGGGGGGATTAGATGAATGCCTACTCCTTATTGAAGAATTACACTGTGTTTTTATTTTAAATTTTTATCAGTTTGACACAGTCATAATGTAAACAGTCAAGGTTTTACTGCAGCAAATAGAGCCTCAGCTTACTCCTCCCATATGTGATTCCCATTTGCCAGAGGTGACCACTGTTTTTCTAGTTATTTGCCTCCATGTTTCTAATTAACATCCTGTGAGCTTCTTGGAATTTTTTTTTTAAAAGGTACCTATTAATTTCATACCATTGAAGATTTAACATATATCCTCTGTTCCACATAACCTACTACTTCATTCTTACAGTATAGTTTTATCACAGATTAAAGTTTACAGTATGATTTTAAATATTGTTCTGCTTAACTATGTAGTATGCTATATTTACTTATGTGATTTTTAAAAATATTTTTAGTTGTAGTTAGACACAATATCTTTATATATTTATTTTTATGTGGAGGATCGAACCTAGCACCTCACATGTGCTAGGCAAGCGCTCCAGCACAGAGCCCCAGCCCCATACTTATGTAATTTTTATTGTCTTGGAAGTTAATGTCTTTATTTTTTTTCTCTTTTCCTATGTATCTGTATCACTGATTCATTCCCAAATCTGCTGGAAGTATTAATGTTTCAAACATACAGATAATCGTAATTTTTACTGGAGACATCCTGCTGAAGTTCTTGGTGTTTTTACTCCAGTTTGTACTGGCTACCCTCTAGGTTTGCTATATAGCTGTTGCTGTGTTGTTGTACTTGGGTGCCCTCTGGTTTGAGCTCAGGAATTCTAGTCCTGTATTTGTAGATGAGACCTAAAGATACCACCTACAGGTCTAGCAAATTAATGTTACAGCTGGGGTAGAACTTTAGCAAACTGATCACTGTTATTTCCTATTGATTATCTTTTCTCCAATATTTTATTATTTCAAGTACACAGAGAAATGGAATGAAATATACAATAAATACCCATAGGCCCAAGATATAGACTATGATTGCCAGCATCATCCATCTATCCAATCCTTGGTAATCTCTTAAGTACTTCCTATTAGAATCTACTTTCAGATCATGCCTCATTGATTGTTTTTAATCCAGACTGAGGAAACTCCAGTTTTAAATATCTGTGTACCTGCTACATGCTTAGCTTATGGTAGAAGGAAATGTGAGCTAGCATTTATGTCCTGAAGGAATTCATAACTTAGTCAAGATAGTGGATAATGTACAACTTATGAGCATATGAAGTAGAATAATATGAGGATATGCTTTCTGGTTTAATATAAAATTATGCACTACTGATGAAAATAACTGCAAAGATATTTTAAGTGCTAAATTCACTTTTTTAAAAATTATTTTTTTACATTATTTTTTTTTTTATTTTTTAGTTGTAGTTGAACACAGTATCTTTATTTTATTTATTTTTAAGTGGTGCTGAGGATCGAACCCAGACCACGCACATGCTAGGCAAGTGCTCTGCCACTGACCTACAGCCCCAGCCCACTAAATTCACTTTTTAAAAATTTTTTTTTAATTATACGTGACTTAATATCTTTGTTTATTTTTACAAGGTGCTGAGGATCGAACCCAGTGCCTCACATGTGCAAGGCAAGTGCTCTGCCACTGAGCTACAACCCCAGCCCAAATGAAATTCACTATTTAACAACACATATGTATGTCTTCATATGGGGGGGAACATGTTATAAATGAGGAATTGAAATATATTCTCTAGCTCAGTGTTTCCTGCTTTCCTTCTCATGTCCCAAATTTCCCTCTAGCACAGGGGTTTGCATGTGAACAAAAAGGGTACAAAGAAAGGAGATAGCATCCTACCTTAGTTCCTTACTGGCTTTAAAACTAATTTGTTCAGTTCACAGCTACTTAATGCATTTGAAGAGCATATTCATGTGTGTATGTACATATATAAAATATGAATGGTGGGTGACCTGTTAAGTGAATGAACACTCAGGATGTAACCTCAATTATATGTATAGATTACCCCCAAAGTCCCAGCATGTTAATTTTTTAAATATATATTTTTTGTATTAGAGACTGAACCCACGGATACAGTCTTGACTGACCTTCATTCCTAGCCCTTTTTATTTTTTATTTTGAGACAGGGTCTTATTTAGTTGCTTAGGGCCTAAGTTTTAGGCTGATCTCAAACTTGCGATCCTCCAGCCTCAGCCTCCCAAGTCAATGGGATTATAGATGTGTGCCCCTGTGCCAGGTGAGTTTTAAACCTATATTATTAACATTCATTTTCATTTTGCTTTATTATGAAAAGTCAAAAGCTAGCAATTTCCTGAATATAATAATTCAGCCATTAAATAAACGTTAGTTTTTGACCCTCAATTAGCCTTACTCATTTTCTTTGAATGCCTTTAGTCAGAAATAGAAGATTGCTTTAAGCTTAAATTTTTATTAATAACCTCGGGACAAATACATTAATAATAATTCCTTATAGATATATAGCATTTTACAATTTTGAAAGAACTTTCACATACACCAATTAAACCCTCACAACATCCCTGTGAGGTAGGCAGGGTAGGTGTTATTTTCTATTACTAATGAGAACAAGGCTCAGAGGTCACACAGTTGGTAAATGATGGAGCCAGGACTAGAACTTGGGCCTTCCGACATGCTGCCTCCCTGAGAACATTCAAGTAATGATATCCATGCTATATAATGAAAATTTCTCTCCTATGATGTTGATCAGATCCATTTTCGTAAGTTTTTATATCACCTTTCTCTAATATGCCTAAACATTCAAACTGATAAGACATTTCTTCCCTGTTTCTGGACTATTTCTTAGATGTATCAAGCACCATCCTAAGATGAAACTTACGATTAAGTTTTGAGGATCCTTGGCTACAAATGCTTAGATTATGATATGAAGATTTATTTCAGAAAATTCTGCCTAAATATTTCCATGTCATACATGTCAAACTGAAACCAAACAGGTCTGTTTTTATTCTCAAAAGCTTTGTGATCTTTCCCAGTAAGACTTTTATGTGTATAAATGGAAAATACGGGGAGGTGTTTAGCAATATTACTGGGAAACCTGTACACAGTGCACCTAAATGCAAGTAACATGACACTAATTTGTTTTCCTTGGCCTTAACAGAAAAGGAGGAGAACCATTATATTCTACTTTCAAGTCTGATCCCATCTCATGTGTGAAATCCTTAGCAACAAGCTATAAAAATGATCTGAATTATACCAATAGGAGGACTCGAGCAGTAGTGACCAAAACATATATGTATGTGGTACGAATAAAACACTTGCTCTTCAGTGGTTCATCTAGGTCCAGTGTAAATTACTTCTCAAGGCAGATTTTAAGCTATACCATCTCTTTTAAATTTTAAAATGTGAAATATGGTAGAGTTATCAACTTGGAATATGACTGAATGTAAATGACCCCCCAACTACCTTTCAAGCAGACTAAAGCTCCAAAGATATGAAAGGCAAGGGATAAAACCTAGTTTTTCTAGTATGGAGTGAAAAAGAGCAACTGCAAAACTGCAGGTTCAAGTGAACCATAGAACATCGTGCATGTTTTAAAAACATGAAAATGACCTGTATTATCAGGAATGATATTTTGAAAATTCCAGTTATGACCTTCTACATTTAAGAGTAATGGGATGAACCTAAGCCTGTGGGGGATCTAGAGAGGGAGTTGGGATGGGAAGTTAGGGAAAACCAAGAAAAACCTTAAATACATTCATCTTTCCAAAAATGTTTTCTAAATAGACTTGGTCAAAAAAGTTAGTGACAATTAAAGTGACTATTTTATCTTATAAAACAAAGTAGAACTTTAAATGCAAGTTAGAAATTAATAGATTAGTCCACTGACCAGGCTGTAGAAACTGAAATGTAAGTGCTGCTGTCAATAATAGCAGAAAACTGCTTCCAAAAATAGAATTGCTGTGGTAGGACTAAGCATTAATGGAACTATTAAAAAACAAGTACTTTTTACTTTAAGCCTAATTGAAAAACATTTGTACTCTTAAAGAAATCTAACAGTTTGAATTAATGTGAAAAATACTGCAGCTACATTTAAGTTTTCTAAGAAAAAAGATGTTAAGATCTACAATGTTCTAGTACAGTATATCAGCTGAAAACCAACTACACACTTCTTAAATGGATGTAGACTAAACTCTACCCTTTACATAGTATCATTGTCATCATCATCTTCATGTTTCCTCTTCATTGGGTTTGATTCATTGCCTATGTTCTGTGATGAAACCATGTTGGTGGTAATAAGAATATTTTTGGGCCCAATCATTGAAGGATTAATCAGAACATTTTGAACTGCAGTTGTTGCAGGAACTGTAAACAAAAAAGAAACCCCCCCACAAACCATGAATTACCCAGAATCCAAAATATACAGTCAAAAGTACACAACAAAGCTGAATGTAATTCTAATAGAAATTTCAGTAGCATGGAGTGCAACTACATCACAGAAGAAACAGGTAATTTATACTGCATTTTGAGTTGAATTAAATTTTTAAAATATTTTATTTTTCATTGGCAAATAGTATGTGATAAGGGTACAATGTGAGCTTTTGATCTGTGTATACATAAAGATTAAATCTACTAAAATGTATCTAATGCAAAGTTAAAATGTTTTATTTTTACTACATTAAATTTCAATTAGTACATTGAATTGGTCATGAAAAATAGTACAGGCCTATGTTTAAGGCAAGGAAACATGCTTCTCTTACAGGCCAATATTTTATGTAAGTTGTTTATTTATGTAGTTAGGGTTCAAAGGATGTGAAATCTCAACATACATATTAGTAAACTATGCTATATCAGAATTATATTATTCCAAACAATCTATATTTTATGAAGCGAGTAAAACAATTTTCATTTGAATTTATATTTGCATTCTGGATCACACACATACTCAGTTTACTAAGTTTTATCATTTTGAGCTTTTACTATAAATGCTTGTCCCTGAGGATGCCTTAGATTTGTGGATGCTGACGGTTTTTACTTCATTGTATTCTTTTGAGATTCTTGATAAGCATGTGGAATACTCTCCCCTCCCCCTGAAAATGTATACACAGGGAAAACTTCATTCAATTTTAGAGGATTCATACACCATCTCTGAAGAATGCTGATTTACAGCATTACTGCCAACTTCCTGTTGATATTATATCAGTTTATTTCTTGCCACAGGAACACAAACTGTTCTTTAATTGCAATTATTCATGAATTCTGACCCCCACCCAATCGTGTTACCTGGTTTGAGAGGAGTGGACTGAGAAGGTGGAATCTGCACCGTAAATCTTTGGCTTGTCACTGACGCTGGAGTTGCAACTTTATTTGGGACAGACACTGTTTGTGGGGTTGCTGTAGTTACAATCAACAGATCTTGTTAGTTAGATGAGTTATTTTTCAGACAAATATTCTATACTCCTTAACTTAGACTACCTTCAAAGCACAGAGAACTAGGGTAAAGTGAGAAGGTATCATTAGAAACAAGAGCAAAGTGATTTTTATTTGAAAAAATTGTGGTTCTGGGAATTGGACCCATGGATGCTTGAACACTGAGCTACAACAGCCCCAGCCCTTTATTTATTTTTTTTTAATTTTGAGAAAGAGTCTCCATAAGTTGCCCAGACTGGCCTTGAACTTTGTGATACTTCTGTCCCAGTCTCCCAAGTTGCTGGGATAAAAGCAAAGTAATTTTTAAAAAGCTTACAAACTTGTATAGATGCTATAAAATTGGACTTGGAGTATAGCTCACAACTCCAAATTCAGAATAGTATAGTAGTAAAGAATGTAGAGCTCTGGAGCTGGGCGTGCTGGCACAAGCCTATAATCCCAGCAGCATAGGAGGCTGAGGTAGGAGAATTGCCAAGTTTGAGGCCAGCTTCAGCAACTTAGATCCTGTCTCTAAATAAATAAATGAATAGGACTGGGGATGTGGCTCAGTGGTAAAAGTACCCCTGGGTTAAGTCCTCAGTACTCTACCCCATCCCCAACAAAGAAAAGAAAAACTCAAGTTATGGAGCCTACCTGCTTGAGATTGAATCCAGGCTCTATCACCTACAAGCTGGTTTTCCTTGGGCAAGTTCTTCTGCACCTCTGTTTTCTCATCTGTAAAATGGAGAGAACTGTATTTAAATTCATAAAATTCTGACAATTAAGTAAGATAATCCATGTAAAACTCTGCAAACAGCATCTAGTATACAGTAAATACTAAATTTTAGCTAATGAAGCCATGAAGTAGAGCTTACCAGAATGAAGACTCAAATTTTCTGTATAAATTACTTTAGGTGTTATTTATTTTTATATGTATATTGTTAATAGATCTTTATTTTATTTATTTATATGTGGTGCTGTGAATCTAACCTAGTGCCTCACATGTGCTAGGAAAGCACTCTACCACTGAGCCACAACCCCAATCCTAGGTGTGATTTTTAATGTCTCACTTGCTGAGAATTAGATGTCTACTTGCCCATGAAAGTAAATCAACATGCACTTAATAAAAAGAGGTTGATTAAATACATACCTTGGGTCCCCAGGTGGGCAAGAAGTTTTACCTCTTGCCTCTGTAATTTCCCTCATGTGTCATAGGAGTCATATTAGTATCTTATTTCATTCACTAGCATAGAAGTCTTGGCTAACATTTTTTATCCTGGTGAGCATGTGGCTCTTGTGCCTTTTTCCTAACAGGTATTCAACAAATGTTTGCTTAATGAATGGTTTTGCAATATTTAATATTTTAAGTATTTTTTTAGTTGTGTATGAATTCAGTGACTTTGTTTTTATGTGGTGCTGGTATCGAACCCAGTGCCTCACACTTGTGAGGCAAGTGGTCTACCACTGAGCTCCAACTCCAGCCTCACAAGATTTAATATCTATGTGGACAATGCCCTCTCAAAAAATAAATTTGTGGAAGTGTGTCTGTTTCTAATGTTTTCCTTTGGTGATGCAGGCTTCCCATATATCCCTCTGTGACCAGCGGTCTACCCAGGGTGAGAGCTGCTAAAGACAGTATAACTAGCATCATCTCTAGGGACAAAGAGGAAGAATGTCTAAGTGGGAGAAGAAAGTCCAAAGGTATCCAGAAATCTGGGTTCCAGTGATTTCTTTCCCAAACAGAAAGTGAGATCTTCCTGATATAGCTCCATTTTTAGGCAAGTTTTCTCATATTACGTAGTCCAGAGAATTTGAAGCTTAATGAAGTAGTATATTTTGTCAAGAAAAAATTTATAGTTGGTTGATGTTTTCCTGGTGATTATCTTAAGGAATTGAAATTTAGGCTTTAGAACTGAATAGATTAGATGTATAAGCCTTAATGTTTATGCAAATAATTTTTAAGATTAAAACATGCATCTTTAATAATAGTTTGAGTAGCACCCTCACTACAGATCTGGAAAAAAAATAAAGCAGTACAAGAAATGACTACAATTGAGACCTGAAGTTGGTTACCTTGCATGACATGTAATTGATTACCACATTCTAGGGGGTTTAAAATATTAGTATTGTTGCTGGGTGTGGTGGTGCATGCCTATAATCCCAGTGGCTTGGGAGGCTGAGGCAGGAGGATTGCAAGTTCAAATTCAGCCTCAGCAAGTTAGTGAGGTCCTATGCAACTCAGCAAAACAATGTCTCAAAATAAAAAGGCTGGGGGTGTGGCTCGGTGTTTAAGAGCCTCTGAGTTCAATCCCTGGTATCAAGATAAAAATATTAGTATTGTCAAGTGAAGTAGTATGCTCCTGTAGTACCAGCTACTTAGGAGACAGAATCAGGGGGATGCCATGAGCCCAGGAGTTAGAGGACTCCCCATCAAAACAATTAAAAATAAATACATGTGTATCCATAGATAAGTATATGATCAAAAAGTTATGCAGACGGTACATGCAAATTTCTACCACAAAGGTCATATGTAGGTATTCAGAAGTGTACACCTGATTCTATACCAGACTGGTTTTAAAATGGTGAAATGTGAATTTGGAGAACAAGAGATGGTTCATACCTCAAAAATCAAATTGCTTACACTAGAATTATATGATAACTTTAGGACACAAGTTATAAGCAATGAGAACCATGAAATTGGGAAAGGAGATTTTTCTGAAAATACTTAAATAATTAGGATATTTGAAAACAAAAACATGGGAACCTAATTATGTTATTTGTTTTCCTCATCTAAATAATGATATTAAAAAATTAATGATTTTCAAATACCATTCTTCACTAAAAGGAACCAAGTCTCTTTGGAAAAGTAGCTGATTCTAGATCTGACAGCAAACTATAAGATGGGCTTTGAACATCTTGTGTTAGAAAGAAAGAAATGTTCAAAGTATGATGGAAATCTACCAAAAAGAATATAGGGCACACAGATTGATGGAGCTCTCACTGAGTACCACTATAGGACAACCAATAAAGGATGATCAGTACATTTGTATTTGTATAGGAAATGGAAATACCACAGCATAAGAGTAAACTCCTGTTTCTGGTATCATAGTTTATACCAACAATAGTGTTGGGCAATGTCCAATTTTATACACATGGAATTTTATACTCTTATGGGATCAGACAAACCTTGTGGCTTTCTCATTTTAAAATGAAGTAAAGTATGTTTATAGGTTTGTCAGAAGATGAGTACAATTATGAATGGCAACATACACATGGGAATTTTGAGTCACATTTTTACTTGGATTACAGTTCAAAACCAAGTGCTAAGGCACTTTACAAGCCAGAAAAGCCATTTCCCCCTTTTACTCACCTATAGTAGGAGTAGTAGGTCTGCTACTAACAGTACCAACACTTAACCGTGGAACTAGTCTTCCTTGGTTTGACCCCTAGAGGGGATTTAAACACAAGTTAGTTTCAATGTTGTTAAGATTTGATATGGAGACTTAACCAAGAGTGAAACTACAATTATTAATGTGATTTATTAGTGGATAATCCATGACAAGAATGTCTTATTCTATTAGTGTTCTAAAATCCAATATTTAATATCGAGTTTTCACAAATGTATATACATGTACATATCTATGTAAACATAATTATGACTCTTAATTCTCTGTAGTGCTTAGAGTCTTATCTGAATGGGGATAACAGCTAACTTCCTTGTGATTTTTAATCTTCACTAGTCAATGTCTTAACAGCAAAAGAAATAAAATTCTCTTATAGCAATATTTCAGAAACAAAGGCAGCCAAATGTGTAGAGAACTAATTTCAGTAGTGGGACAGCCTTAGGTCATATTTCAGAAAGCAGGCCTAATTTATGATAGTACAACATTTACTCTGTTATTAGACCTCACTAAAAAACTATGGTATAGTGTAAAGATGAGTAGTTATGAGACCTGGTAATCATTCCTAGCTTTGAAACTGATCCCATAAATAAGTCTAGGCACAGTTTCCTGATATAAAAAATGTCTTTCTGGATTAGATGAACACTAAAGTTCCTTCTAGCTCTAAAAGTGTTTTAAGATAATAGTAAATTATCTTAACCTTTAATTAGCTTTGTTACCTATACGAATTTGCTTTTTACAAATTCTCCTATCATATTCCACTTTCCAGGGGCTCACTCTTTCTAGACAAGTGCTCTGCCACTGAGCAACATCCCCACCCCCCCCTGTATCCCACCTTGTTAAAAAGCAAAGTTGACTAAAAGTTCTTACCTTTTTAATTAAGGACTTCAGTCTGTAGTTTGGAGCTGTTAAGCAGTATCTATCAGGTGGCAACCTAGGTCCTGAATATGGCTTAATCAGTGGCAAAGGTGTTTGATTTTTCTGTCTTGCAATATCCAGCAAAAACTAAAGAAAAAATATCTTCATTTAGAACTACAATTTAAAAACTTCTAAGTAAAAATAACTTGAAATAAACATTTGCTCACATCTCTCGGGGGAGGAGAGGTAAACGATTGGTCTGCACGACACTGGATTGCCAGTCTCACATCATCTGCATCAACATTAGGTTTCTTAGCATGGCTTGAATAAATTTTTGCATCATCCAGAATTGTAGTCACATATCCTTTAAGAACAAAATTTTTTTCTTAAGTACATGAAGACAGCTTAATGGCAACTTGTCTTAGTTCCCACTAATTTCTGGAAAGTGTATGAATTTAGATTTTAATGGCTAATTGTTCTACACATAGGATAAATTTTTAAACAGATATTACAATGTAAATACTACTACTCCTAGCTTGAGCTCCTTTTTAATGATTGATTTACTTATTTGCAGTATTGAGTGAACCCAGGGCTTCACAAATGGCTCTGTCACTGAGGTACATTCCCATCCCTTTTTATTTTGAGACAGGGTCTAGCTAAGTTGCTGAGGTTGTGATCCTCCTGTTTCAGCCTGACAAGTATCTGGGCTTACAGTCGTGTGCCAACACACCCAGCATTTTAGTTATTTTTATATTAATAACTCAATATAAGTTGGTTGAAAATATTCTTATAATAAAGTGATTTATTTTTCAAATTCACATATTTGGCAAGTTTTGGGTTTTAACTTACGGAAAGCAAATTCCAGCATTTGATTTATAACTCTTGGTTCATACTCTGTGATTCCCATATCCTTCAAGATCTGTGCCATCACCTGTGGATTCAAATAAAAATGCCAGATGCAAAATCTAGGTATTGGAAATCAAGGCTGAACTGAAGGTAGTTGTTTGTATTTATGCGACAATGTTCCCATTCTCTGGGCTCCAAACTCCTACTTCTCCTTGTCTTCCCAAGTGTCAGTGATCACACCAGATCAGTTATATGCTCTAGCTGAAAACTTTTTGTTTTTGGCAGGGCTGACAAAAGAAAAAGGTCGGCGTTGGCTTTTCCAGCAGAGGTTGGGTGGCTCCAGCTGGTTGTCATTTTCAGATGGAGCGGTGGGGGAAGCTAGCATCAGAACGCTGGACGCTAAGAGTAAGGGCTTATAGATGGGACGACGGGACTAGGCGAGGTGGTGACGGCGGTGGCCCCGAGGCCCAGGAGACAAAGCGTGGCGGCCCGGCCGCGCACTTGGTTGAACCACGACCCTTTGGAGGGGCTACGCAGGAGCTGAAGGAGAGCGCCCCTGGGGCCAAGGCAAACCCCCATCGCCCCCTCCACCTGGTTGCCTTAGCTGGGCTGAAGCAGGCGCGCGAGCCCACCCCCTAGCCCTCAGTCTGGGTCTGCCTCACAGTTCAAGGGCCTCGCCAGGCTTCACGCCTCGCCTCTCATCCTTCGCACTTACCAAGGCATCTCTAGGAGCGTTCTTGGGAGGCGCCATCTTGCCCGACTCCATGTTATCCAGGCTCTCGTCATCCGGGGAGAGAGGGCAGCTCGAGGACTCCTCGCTCAGGCTCCACCTCTGTAGGGGCGGAAGGCGGGGTTACCGCGCAGGCTGGCGGGCCTGTGGCTGTTTCACAGCTGCTACTCCTGGCCTGTGCGGCCCATGGGAAACCTGGCTCTCCCAGAGGCTATCCGCACTGCGCGCCGGCGCCCCAAAGAGTCGGGGCCGCCTCGGAGGTTTGGAAGAGGAGGGTAAGCCTTTCCCTGGTAGCCCTTCCCTACCGGGAGCTAAATAATACAGAAGAGCCTAGAAGCTTCCAACGTTGTCCACTGGCAAAGCACACCGAGTGGGTTGCCCTCTGAGGTCCTTCCTCACACCCTGCACTACCAACCTGGCTCCTTCCAGATCCCAAAATTACTGCAGAGGCCCTTCCCTCACCTGCCTCACTGTTAGGAATGCCCGGTCAAGCAGAACACTCAGTTACATTCGACAACCAATACACTTGGGATCTACTTTAGCATAAGTATGCCCCAAATATTGCATGAGCCATACTTAGAGTACACAATTATTTACTGTTGATCTGACATACCAATTTAATTTGGTACCCTGGCCTTTCGTTTGCTAAGTCTGGCAGCCCTATCCAATAACCTGTTCTCCACACCCAGGACTTTGGTCAGTGGGACTTTGGTCATTTCTTGTTGCACATTGATGGAAAGCTAAAACCTTTTTTTTTTTTTTTTTTTTTTTAAGGTACTGGGGATGTAACCCAAGGGTGCTTTACTACTGGGCTCCATCCCCAGCCATTTTAATTTTTTTTTTTTTTTTTTTAATTTTGAATCAAAGTCTTGCTAAATTGCTCAGGCTTACCTTGAACTTTGGATCCTCCTGCCTCAGCCTCTGGAGTGGCTAGAATTACAGGCTTGTGAGAGCTAAAAAAATCTTTAACTACTTATCTCACTGAAGCCCCTAGAAACTTATCTCTTGGTCAGAGTAGCTCTGTCCCCAAGGAAGCCCACACAGGGACCTTCCTTGCCTTACCGATTGCCCACCTCCTCCACACCCCCAATTCTTAGAAGAACCCTTGCGAATTTGTTGAGAACCAGTCATCCAGCCCGAGTTATTTTAAAAGGACAAACATCAGCTAACCATTTCTGACTTAGAATAGCTCAGAGAACTCCATTTTACTCCTGTATCCACCAATGCCCTAGCATCCTCCATTTCAGGATAAGGCACCATGACCGCCTCAGACCGGAAAAGGAGCAGGTAGCCATGTTGCTGCTTTCCCTCACAAGCCACATGTAATTTAGCAGTAAGTCATGTTGTGGCGACCTCCCAAAGTTACACATCTGTTTCTCTGCATCTCCCTCCAGATATATCATGCTAACAAGTCTTAAACAACTGCCTTACTAAGATTACAGAAAGAGGACCCTAAAATAGGAGCCCCCCCCCCACATTCCTCATACAACCGGAGCGATCTCTTATTTATAAATAAAAAATATTGTTTTCCTTAACCGCCCCCCCCAATAGCATCTCTCTTTCTGTCTTCCTCTCCCCCTCTGATTTCCTGGGTTTAGTGGGCCCTTCAGTTTGGGGGAGCAATTTACCTCATCAGACTCGTCCGACTCATCCGCCCACCAGGTAGCCATCTTGAACTTTGAGCAGGTCCCCCAAGAACCACGTGTCTCAATACATTGTTTCCAGTGGGAACACTTTACTGCCTTCTAACCATGCCAGACCTCTGTAAAAAAAAAAAAAAAAAAAAAAAAAAAAAAAAAATCCAACAATTCCTTTTAAATAGGTACTATATATACAAGGTACAAAATTAAAAATAAAGGGAAAAAGAATCCTCCCTCACCTGTTTCATCCACCCATTTGACTTTCTCAGAAGGCATCACTGTTTATGTTTTTTGTCTGTATGATTTGCAAATAGTTTATATCTTCTTCAACTGACTGAATTGTACTAAACTCTTAGGGTCACCAACATTTAGACAGCCAAACAGGAATACAGCTATACAAGGTGGGAAACCCCATAATATAATAAAAAGTCATTGCACTCATGTTGTTATTTGAAAGTAATTTTTCAGCATCAGATTTTGTATTATTTACTTTTCTGTTATGTAAATACTGTTATCTAAACATAACAGGATTCCTTAACAGTTCCAATTATTGCTGATTAATTTTAAGACTAATTAAATCATATGTGGGAGGAAAAGGGATTTTTGCAAGGGTCCCATCTGTGTGGGTGGGACCTATAGGATGGTTTCACCGTGGTTAGGGAGCACAGGCCTGGAGAGAAAGCAGGGGAAGTAGCAGTGTAAAGGTATGGGTAAAGGGTAAAGGTGTGGATAATTCTAAGTTCACAGCTGAATGAGTAAGATAGTGAGGAACCCAGTCTTAGAGATGCTTTAAGTTTTTATATCTGTCCTTTGACTTGAACCATTGAAATATAGCATAGAACTGGAAACTGTAATCTGCGAGTGCAATTGAGCCCTACCTCTGACATGAGAAAACTAAACATGCATTTAAAGTGGATGTTAAGACAACATAAACTTACAAGCATCCAGGGCTGGAATTGTGGCTCAATGCTAGAGTGCTTGCCTAGCATATGTGAGGCACTTAGTTTGATCCTCGGCATCACATAAAAAATAAATAAATAAAATAAAATTATCATGTCCATCTACAACTAAAAATTTTAAAAAATATATAAGCATCCAGTAGTGGGACACAAAATTAGCTTATTTTTATCACACTGAATGGTACTTATAGTCCTAGTACAATTGGCACTTTACCAGGATACAGCTTCTTATAGGGACATCAAGCTTATGCTTGTCTGCTGCACAGTAGCTTATCCTGTGTACTTGAAGTATTTGTTTGAGATTTTCAGATATTTAATGCTGCCCCCATCCAGCATGGGCAACTGAACCAAAGTCATTCCTGTGAATTTGGGGTGACACCAAAAGACCATGCAGACATGGAATACCTTTTTCTATGAGCTTCAGGATGGCTTCCCTGGCTCCCAACCTCAGGCTCCCACAAGGGGGTGAGAGGCTGAGGAGAGAGAAGGAGCACATGTTCTGGAGTTGGCTTTATTGGGGGATACTGTTTCTTAGAACATTCTATCAAAAAAATGGGGGGGGGCAAGGGGTAAGATTACAAAGGAACGGTGGGTGTAACCTCGACCCCACCATGTAATGCCTATGCTTGGAGTCACACCTCATTATCCGAGTGGAGGTAAAGCCCAAGTTATTGTGGGGTGCAATAATTGTTCAGGACTTAAGGATGTATATTTCCAGAGCAGCTCCCAACAATTTACACCTACTATTGATCCAGTAAATCATTTTTTTCTGAGAATGATACCCAGAACCCCTTTGAAATGGAGCAAGCACAAGTTATTTGGGAGAACTTTCAAGAGAAATAACTGATTTCCTTTTCATATGAACGTTATGAACTGCGGTTCCCTCAGTGAGAATAATACAACTAAAAAAGTGGTTCTAAGTTTGTCTCTGACCTTAGCAGATGTCATATATGACACTATTTCTTCTCTGGAAGTCCAACAAGCTAGTCTAAATCCATTATCTACAATAATAATAATTTTAAAAACTAGTACAATTCATCAAGTCATATAGCCCTTGATTTCCTCTTGAATAGTCAAACAAATTTGTGTTTGACGTAAATAAATACCACAGAACAAGTATAACACTGTGTAACTAGTCACAAACAAACAAACACAACAAAAAAACAAAAATTTGACTCTATAAGAGAGACCCACCTGGATTCTAGGATACCCTTTAGATGCCTGGAGTTTATAATTGAGGCCCTCTGGCTTTGATGTTTGTTAGAAGGACTGTGTTAGCCAGCTTTTCAGCACTGTGACCAAAATACCTGGTAAGAATGTGGGGGGCACTGGGTTTGATCCTCAGCACCACATAAAAATAAATAAGTAAAATAAAATTATTGTGTCCATCTACAACTAAAGAGAAATATTTTTAAAAAAGAACAACTTAGAGGACAAAAGCTTAATTTTGGACTCATTGTTTCAGAGGCTCGGTCCATTATTGGCTGACTCCATTGCTCTAGGCCCAAAGGGTGAGACAGAGGAAGAGCTAGTCAGCTCTTGTCACCTGGCAAGTAGAAAACTAGTTGAGGAGCTAGAAACAAGCTGTAGGTCACACGGGCATACCTCCACTGACCTACTTCCTCTAGCCATGCCTCAGCAACTTAGCAAGGCCCTAAACAACTTGGCAAGACAACGTCTCCAAATAAAATAATTAAAACAAAATAAAACAATTAAAACAACCAGCAGTCCATTCAAATTATTGATCCATCAAATGGATTAATCCACTGATGAAGTTATAGCTCTCATAGTCTAATATTTTCACCTCTCAGCAATGTTACATTCCCTAACACATATGCTCTTTGGGGTGGGTTTCAAAATCCATACCATAACATAGACCAATAGTCATTTTGTTTCTGATAATGGCCTGTGTTAGTTTGGCAAAGTATCCTAATTGGTATTCATCTCATTTTGATCAGCAAAATTTTGGCAATGGTGAAAATCTGATTAACATGGATTGAAGTTTTCTGGCCTGACTTCATCTGCCTTGGGTCAAATGAAGTAACTGACAAAAAAGTATGCTCTGACATTCAGGAAATGGTCTAACACAGCTAGTCCTCAGTGTTGTTAGTAGCTTGCCTGGTGCAAAGTTAGGTCATGTTATTCCCTTTTACAGACTCTCAAGGAACACCAATATCAGACAAAGTCACTCTGGTAGTATGAACAATTGAGACATACCAAGACCTCTTTATAACTTTGTCTAAGCACAGACAAAAACAAGGTCACTATGACCTATAAAATATCAAACACAACTCTTGCTCAGATACTATGAGTGACTGCTATATTACCAATTACACCTTTATCCTTGAAAACCTGCCTTCCCTGTAGATGAGATTTATTATGATACACAATCAAAGTTGTCCTTCCTTCCTTCCTTCCTTCCTTCCTTGTATTGGGGATTGAACCCAGGAGTGGTTTAGCACTGAGCTACATCCTCAATAAT